ATCCTGCTATTTTTCACAAAAAATCTCAGATAGCACTGGCAATTCAAAACGATTATTTTCTGAAATAAACACTCTGGTCAAACCTCACACACACACACTGTCTGACACCAGTACGGACCATTGCAATAGGTTCATGGACTACTTCACCAACAAGGTAATGTCAATCCGGTCTGCCCTTCCTTCCACTACCCCATTTCCAACTGACATAATCTTTCCTAAGCCGCCCAACACCTTTACCTCCTTCTTGGATATCTCCCAGTCTGAAGTGGAGAGGATCATAAGCAGCATGAAGCCCTCCACCTGTCTGCTGGATCCTCTCCCCACAACACTTCTCAAATAAAACTTTTCTGCCATTAGCCCATTAATAACAGAAATCATTAACCAGTCACTAAAATCCGGTCAGGTCCCCCCAGCTCTCAAAAATGCAGTAATCCGCCCCCACCTGAAAAAACCTTCACTTGACCCCAACATCCTAGCCCACTACAGACCAGTCTCAAACCTCCCATTCCTCTCCAAAGTCCTCGAAAAAGCAGTAGCAGCCCAACTCCACAATCACTTACGCTCCCATAACCTATATGAGAAATTTCAATCTGGTTTCCGCTCAGCCCACAGTACAGAGACAGCCTTGGTCCGCGTCATGAATGACCTACTCATGATTGCGGACCGGGGCTCACCCTCTCTCCTCCTCCTCCTCGATCTGTCAGCAGCTTTTGATACCGTGGACCACACCACTCTCCTCCATAGACTACAATCAGTAATTGGACTTTCACAGACAACACTCAAATGGTTTCATTCATATCTCACTGACAGAACAGAATATGTGTCCCTAGGCCAGTACAAATCGTCACCCCATTCAGTTACCTGTGGGGTACCGCAAGGCTCAGTCCTCGGGCCAACCCTTTTTACAATATACATGCTCCCCCTTGGTCAAATCATCAACAGACACAACATTTCTTTCCACTGCTACGCCGATGATACACAGTTATACCTGAAAATGGACTCCACTTCACCCACAGGTTTTACGTCAGCCCTTCAGCTTTGTCTGGAGGAGATAAAGGCATGGATGGACAACAATTCTCTTCAACTTAACAGTGGTAAAACTGATGCAATCCTCTTTGGCACCCCCCACCAAACCCAGTCCTCCTCTCTCAGCAGTGTTTCAATTTTTGGCCATAACATCCCCCTGTCCACATCTGTTATTAACCTTGGAGTCAGGCTCGACTCTAATTTTACATTTGATACCCACATCCGCCACCTCTGTAAAGTCTCCTTCCTTCACCTCAAAAACATTGCCAGACTCCGCTCCTCCCTCTCACAACCGGACGCTGAGAAGCTGATCCATGCCTTTGTCTCCTCCAGGTTGGATTACTGCAATGCCCTCCTCGTCGGGACCTCTGCAAAGGGTCTGCAAAAACTCCAGTATATCCAGAACTGTGCTGCCCGGGTCCTGACGAGGAGGCGCAAATATGACCACATCTCACCAGTCCTCAAATCACTCCACTGGCTGCCCATCAAACACAGAATACAGTACAAACTCTGCCTCCTCACATATCAATGCACACACGGAACTGCCCCTGCCTACCTCAGTGAACTCCTAACACCACACACCGCCTCTCGAAGTCTCCGTTCAACCACCTCCTCCCACTGCCTGCACCAACCCAGGACCAAACTCTCCACCATGGGAGATAGGGCCTTTCAGGCAGTAGCCCCCCGGCTCTGGAATGCCCTCCCAGAAACCCTCAGGGCCCCACAAAGTGTGGAGGCTTTTAAGAAAGGCCTAAAGACATTTCTATTCAAACAGGCCTTCTAGATATGTACAGTAATTATGTTTTTATTTTTTCAATATGTTATATTTGATGTATTGTTTTTATGTTGTGTATCTTGGGGATGTTCCCTGTTTTTGTAGCACTCTGAGGTTTCCCTGAAATGTAAAGTGCATTATAAATAAAATGTATTATTATTACTTTACTTGTCATGTTTTATTCACTCCATACACTGTGGTGATAAGTGTCTTCTGATAAAACAAAAGAAGACATTTTGAGACTAATCTACACTCTTTATGTGTTGATGCATATTCGCAGTAAAACAAGTTTGGCTCCCACAGAAATACATTTTAAAGTGTGAGAGTGTTTGGCTCTTTCTGGTTTAGAAAGTTCCAGGTTTGTCAAGCTTTTACAAAATTAAAGGTTTATAGGAGGATTTTTTTTACTTCTTGGTGGATCATCAAGACTATTGGTGCTCCTAGTTGTCAATCATTCTGGTGATACGTGCTCGTCCAATAAGAGCAGAGAGTTTAGTTTAAAAAATGGAGAGGACGGATCTTTCCTAAAATTTGGGAAAAACCTCAAACACTTGTGCAAACCTCGGGTCAAAATCCAATATCACAGGTGAATAAAAATGGAATAAAATGCCTAAATTGGGTTCTAAATATGTCTAAATGACTCTGGTCTGGTTAAGGTAGAAAATATCATCAAAATTCAGCTCAAAAATATTTTAATTTGGGTGTTTTTGAATCACTGTGGCGGGTACATTTCTCCTGTGTGAGATCAAATCTATCTTTTCTAATCTTAAATTCAACTTGAGGCTTAACTTTATATAGTTGTGTGAGTTTAACCAGGTGCTACGTAGTACGAGAGAAAGGTATTTTTCTGAAATGATTGAAGGCTGCAGCAACAATCTGCGTGTTCTGTTTTCAACAGTTAATAGATTAACAAACCCCCCTGTTCAGATGCCATTAGAGCTTACTTCCAAACGTAAATGCAATGAGTTTGCAATTTTTTTCAATGACAAGGTTCAAGGCATCAAAAACGCCATTGTCCCCAATCCACAGATAACCATCCAACAGCCAGAAAGGCTCTCTGAGCTAACTTACTTTGCACCTGTAAATGATCAAACTGTCCAAGAGATAATCTCCAGTTTGAGCTCCTCCACATGCAGCCTGGATGTACTACCCACTAGATTTCTGAAGTCTGTTCTGAGCAGTCTGTTACCTTCACTCACACAGATAGTAAACATGTCCCTTCATTCTGGAATATTCCCAAAGGCCCTGAAAACTGCAGTCATCAGGCCCCTGCTAAAAAAGAGCAACCTGGATGCTACGGTACTTAACAACTATCGTCCCATCTCAAATCTGCAATTTATGGGGAAAGTCCTTGAAAAAGTTGTCTACCTACAGCTTACTAGATTTCTTATAATCAACAACTCATTTGATATGTTTCAGTCCGGCTTTAGACCCCACCACAGCACTGAGACTGCTCTCGTCAAGGTTACAAATGATATCCGGCTGAACACTGACGCAGGCAAAGTCTCAATCTTAATCTTGTTAGATCTAAGTGCTGCCTTTGACACAGTCGACCATGAGATCCTCTTACAGAGATTAGAGGACTGGGTTGGCGTCGCTGGCACCGCCCTAAGTTGGTTTAGGTCTTACCTTGAAGACAGGAAGTACTTTGTGGAGATTGGAAACTGTGTCTCAGATCATATGGCCCTGACCTGTGGAGTCCCACAGGGGTCGATCCTGGGACCTCTTCTGTTCAATCTCTACATGCTGCCGTTAGGTCAGTTAATACGCAGAAACAAAGTTTCCTATCATAACTATGCAGACGACACTCAGATCTATGTCTCACTGACTGCAGGAGAACATGGACCAGTGGACTCACTCCTTCACTGTATCCAACAGATCAGAGAGTGGATGCAAAACAACTTCCTTCAGCTAAACGCGGACAAAACTGAAATGATTGTCTTTGGTCCCCAGAAACAAAGAGAGAGCGTCATCTGTCACCTACAGTCTCTCTCCTTAAAACCTTCAAACAAGGTCAGAAATCTAGGGGTAATACTGGACTCAGACTTAAATTTTAATAGCCACATCAAATCAGTAACATCAGCAGCTTTTTACCATCTAAAAAACATTGCCAGGATCAAAAACATAGTGTCTAAAGCAGACTTGGAGATTCTTATCCATGCATTTGTCTCCAGTAGGTTAGACTACTGCAATGGCTGCTCACAGGTCTCTCCAAACAGGCTGTAAAACAGCTGCAGTACATTCAAAATGCAGCAGCTCGAGTCCTGACTAGAACCAGGAAGTACGACCACATTAGTCCTGACTAGAACCAGGAAGTACGACCACATTAGTCCTGACTAGAACCAGGAAGTACGACCACATTAGTCCAGTTCTCAGGTCTCTGCACTGGCTTCCTGTGGCTCAGAGAATAGACTTTAAAACAGCTCTGCTTGTTACAAGTCTCTCCATGGCCTCGCAACAAAATATATTAGTGACATGTTAGTCCCATATGAACCAGCCCGGACTCTGAGGAGCACAGGAACTGGACTCCTGCCGGGACTCTGAGGAGCACAGGGACTGGACTCCTGCTGGGACTCTGAGGAGCACAGGGACTGGACTCCTGTTAGTGTCCAGAGTCAGAACTAAACATGGGGAGGCTGCTTTTCAGATTCATGCTGATAAAATCTGGAACAGTCTTCCTGAAGATGTGAGACAGGCCTCCTCTCTGACAATGTTTAAAACCAGGTTAAAGACAGTTCTGTTTAGCTGTGCTACAACTGAGGGATTTTATATTTTTATCTTTCTTTTTAATGTTCTGTGATTATTTATGATTTTAATGCTTTCTTGTTTTGTTCAGCACTTTGAATTGCCTTGTGTATGAATTGTGCTATATAAATAAATTTGCCTTGCCTATATGAATGAGGATCGTGAGACTCCCGTTCAGACCGTCTCCCTCTGGTCCTTTAGCACCTCAGCCACAGCACTTCTCTCGGAGGTGATTCTGTCCTCTACGTGCCACAATGGCCGCTCCCTCATTTATCCCAGCGTCCCCAGCGAGGCGCTATCCTCCGCCACCCCCGCCTCAGCTCCCAACATGGATCACTAATCCCTCTCATTAAGGATGGCCCCCAGGCTCTCGTTACTGTACATCCATCGTCATAGCCTTGTTCCCGGGCCCTATATTCTGAGCCGCAGCCGCTTTCATCTCGGCCGGCGTGTGTCAGGGATGACGTGCGTGTGTCGGGGATGGCGTGCGTGTGTCGGGGATGGCGTGCGTGTGTCGGGGATGGCGTGCGTGTGTCAAGGATGGCGTGCGTGTGTCAGGGATGGCGTGCGTGTGTCGGGGATGGCGTGCGTGTGTCGGGGATGGCGTGCGTGTGTCGGGGGTGGCGTGCGTGTTGTGCCGGGGGTGGCGTGCGTGTGTCGGGGGTGGCGTGCGTGTGTCGGGGGGTGGCGTGCGTGTGTCGGGGATGGCGTGCGTGTGCCGGGGGTGGCGTGCGTGTGTCAGGGATGGCGTGCGTGTGTCGGGGGTGGCGTGCGTGTGTCGGGGATGGCGTGCGTGTGTCGGGGGTGGCGTGCGTGTGCCGGGGGTGGCGTGCGTGTGTCGGGGTGGCGTGCGTGTGTCGGGGGTGGCGTGCGTGTGTCGGGGATGGCGTGCGTGTGCCGGGGGTGGCGTGCGTGTGTCAGGGATGGCGTGCGTGTGTCGGGGGTGGCGTGCGTGTGTGTGGCATGGAACGTGTGGCTGGATTTTGATGTCTCTGTCAACTGCGTTCTGTGAGATAACACGGTGCTGCATGCCTGACCCACTCCATCAGAAGGAGGAGAAATTGCATGTCTGCTTCTGGTTGTGTGAAAGCGTAAATGTTATTTGTGTGTGTGTGTGTGTGTGTGTGTGTGTGTGCGTGCGTGCGTGCGTGTGTGTGGCTTTTTACAAGTGACAAGTACAATATGAAGGAGGTGGATTAACTGTGGAAGGACATTTCATGGAAGAGAGAAGCGCAGAAAGGTGTGGTCTGATGTGGGAGACACTAGAGAGACTAGAGAGACTAGAGAGAGACTAGAGAGAATAGAGAGAGACTAGAGAGACTAGAGAGAGAGACTAGAGAGACTAGAGAGAGAGACTAGAGAGAGACTAGAGAGAGACTAGAGAGAGACTAGAGAGACTAGAGAGAGAGACTAGAGAGACTAGAGAGAGAGACTAGAGAGAGACTAGAGAGAGACTAGAGAGAGACTAGAGAGACTAGAGAGAGACTAGAGAGACTAGAGAGAGAGACTAGAGAGACTAGAGAGAGAGACTAGAGAGAGACTAGAGAGAGACTAGAGAGACTAGAGAGAGACTAGAGAGAGACTAGAGAGAGACTACAGTTAATTCTAAGTATTCATATGAAACCTATTGATGAACCAACTACTGTGTGGTCTGCCATAGACTGAAGTGGAAATATTTTGCAGAGGAGAATTGTTTCTAGAACGGCTGATCCAAATTATATGAAAGACAAATTACAAAAGCTGGAGAGAGGCGGCTTACGAAATGAAAGCGTGTGAGAAACCTGACATTTTCCTGGATGATACCCAAACTTAATCTTTGTGTTCAATCAAATATTACTCCTACACACACTGCAGCAAACAGCCTGTGTCAGCCGGACAAGGGCAGACTGAACGGGCTCACAGCTCCAGAAAACACTGAAGCGGTTGGAAAGCATTATTCTCCTGATGGATGTCGGCTGTTACTGATATGTTTCCCATGATCCAGGTGTAAGACGCTTTTTATTATTAAAACTTTGTATGGAATGCTCTATGTATATTTTTCATGTTTCCGGTTTAACGGTCTTACCACACCATTGTACTCATTTCATTTGGTACTAAAGTCTGGATTTGCTCCATTGACTCCGTTAACAGGTGGGAGGGGCCTTTTGCAGATTGAAACCATTGGATCTGAGTTTACCGTGACGTATGCAATGAGCCCGAGTGAGTGAGGCATTTAGCATTTAGCCTAGCTTTAGCATTTAGCCTAGCTTTAGCATTTAGCCTAGCTTTAGCCATCTCCTTTGCCACTAACGGAGCCCGTGGGGAGTAGAGCCACAACATCTTTGCTTCAATGACATTTACTAAACATTCCTCTTGCTCCGGCTTCAGTTTCTTGATATTTGGATTGAACCAGAACAGATTATTTTACTATCGCATTCTCCGACAAACTACAACCAGCAAAATCACAGACACCGACCTACAACACCCGGAGCACCCAGAGGAAACCTACACAGACACGAGGAGAGCATATAATCTCCACTCAGAAAGACCCTGTTCCAAGCGGGATTTGAACCTAGGATCTTCTTGCTGAGAAGCGAGGGGGCTAACCACATGTATGCATAAACACACACATATGCACACATACACACTACATACAGACATACATACATGAATACACACACATACACACATTTTATCGCTGCTTGAAGTAAGATTGAGGCATTGAACTGTTTAGCGTGGAGTGAGCCATATACATTTATAGAGCTTCTAACCAACAACAAAACGACAGATTGCAACGAATTAATAAACATCCAGCAATTAGCGCAAAGCTCGGTGTTTCCTCTGACGTTTTCATTCATGAGTAAACTGCCTTCGCTAACGCACAGCAACAAAGGGAAAGGTCAAACGCAGTAAGGCCCACAGAGTGTCTCCATTCTCTTCTACCTAAAGCTAATTAACATGCAAACATCCACAGCCGCACACTCATTAATTGTCCTTTTCACAACACTATCTTGTACCATTGGGTCTTTAACGAATGGCGCGGGAGGAGGTCCGTGCCCCCCCCACTGCCCCCACAGCCCCCACTCAGACCCCCCACACAAACAGGAGGAAATTAATTGATGCCACTTCAGGTCAGCAGTCCAAATATTTATTTTGTAACAACTGCGAAGCTAATTAAATTTTATGAGATTAGACACTGTTTATCTGTTTGTTCGGGTTGTGCGTCATGTTTCCAAACTGCACAAAGTGAGGGACGAGTGTGTTGTGTTTTGAAGGTTGGACACAGAGAAGAGTTAAGATGCTTCATGTGTTATTACTCATTCACAACATACACGGTGGTGATGAACTTCTACAGCTGCCCTGGGGCACACTGACCGAAGCGAGGCCACATGTCTGTGCCACCAGCCCCTCCCACCACCACCAACCATTAACACACACACACCAGACTCATTCTAATGCAAGTATAGTGTCTTGCCTAAGGACACAAACACAGTTTAGCACTTTACAGCCGCAGTCGCACCCAATGTGGCACCTGCTGTTCCAAGAGGTCTCCCATCACTGCACTAACCAAACCCAACCCTGCACAGCTTCGGAGGTCTGACAGGATCTGGGTTTCGCTTCATTTCAACCATGAGATGAGATAACATGATCTGAGTTGTGTTACAAGCCTTAATAGAAGAAAAACAGTGAATTATTTATGAATAATCTAATAGCAGCAGGTGAGAACAGACATTATTATGACGATACAGTGTGTATCAGTGTGTAACAGACATTATTATGACGATACAGTGTGTATCAGTGTGTAACAGACATTATTATGATGATACAGTGTGTATCAGTGTGTAACAGACATTATTATGACGATACAGTGTGTATCAGTGTGTAACAGACATTATTATGAAGATACAGTGTGTATCAGTGTGTAACAGACATTATTATGACGATACAGTGTGTATCAGTGTGTAACAGACATTATTATGACGATACAGTGTGTATCAGTGTGTAACAGACATTATTATGACGATACAGTGTGTAACAGACATTATTATGACGATACAGTGTGTAACAGACATTATTATGACGATACAGTGTGTATCAGTGTGTAGTAACAGGACGACTCCTTCTCAACACGGATTGTGCCAGTGGCAAAAATGAATATTAATTAGTGTCATTTTATCACATTGAGGGGTTTATCAAGGGTTTTGCGTGTGTGTCTGTGTGTATGTATGAGTGTGCTTCTGTGTGTGTGTGTGTGTGAGAGTGCTTCTGTGTGTGTGTGTGTGTGTATGCTTCTGTGTTTGTGCTTGTGCATGTGTGTATATGTATGTATGTGTGTTTATATAGGTGTGCGTTTGAGTGTGTGTGTGCTTCTGTGTATGTATGTGTGTGCTTCTGTGTGTGTGTGTGTGTGTGCTTCTGTGTATGTATGTGTGTGCTTCTGTGTGTGTGTGTGCTTCTGTGTGTGTGTGTGTGTGTGCTTCTGTGTATGTATGTGTGTGCTTCTGTGTGTATGTATGTGTGTGCTTCTGTGTGTGTGTGTGTGTGTGTGTGTGCTTCTGTGTGTATAGGTGTGTGTGAAAAACAATTAGCACCTCATGATTGGAGAAAACTGGTGCTGATGTCCGTGGTGGCGAGGTGCAGAGAGGACTGGGCAGCGGTCGAAGGCGGAGACCTCGACGACCCAGTCCACACACCCAACATCTGGCTCTTGGGACGTGGAACGTCACCTCACTGGGGGGGAAGGAGCCCGAGCTTGTGGGGGAGGTTGAGCGATACCGACTAGAGATAGTCGGCCTCACCTCCACACACAGCTTGGGCTCTGGAACCCAACTCCTTGAGAGGGGTTGGACGCTCCACTTTTCTGGTGTTTCCCGCGGGGAGAGGCGGCGAGCTGGGGTGGCCATACTCATTGCCCCCCATCTCAGCCGCCACGTGTTGGAGTTCTCCCCGGTGAATGAGAGGGTCGCGTCCCTCCGTCTCCGGGTGGGGGACAAGTCTCTCACTGTTGTGACGGCCTACGGGCCTAACGGTAGTGCAGAGTACCCGGCCTTCTTGGAGTCCTTGGGAGGGGTACTGGACAGTGCACCGCCCGGGGACTCCGTTATTCTCCTGGGGGACTTCAACGCCCATGTGGGAAATGCCAGTGACACTTGGAGAGGGGTGATCGGGAAGAGCGGCCCCCCTGATCTGAACCCAAGCGGTGTTCAGTTGTTGGACTTCTGTGCCAGTCACGGCCTGTCCATCACGAACACCATGTTCGAGCACAAGGGTGTCCATCAGTGCACGTGGCACCAGGACACCCTAGGCCGGAGGTCGATGATCGACTTTGTAGTCGTATCATCTGACCTTCGACCGCGTGTCTCGGACACTCGGGTGAAGAGAGGGGCGGAGCTGTCAACCGATCATCACCTGGTCGTGAGTTGGATCCGCTGGCAGGGCAGGAGGCCGGTCAGACCTGGCAGGCCCAAGCGTGTAGTGAGGGTTTGCTGGGAACGTCTTGGTGAGCCCCCTGTCAGACGGACTTTCAACTCACACCTCCGGGAGAGCTTCTCCCAGGTCCCGGCAGAGGAGGGGGACATCGAGTCCGAGTGGACCATGTTCTCTTCCTCTATCGCCAATGCGGCGGCTCGTAGCTGTGGTCGCAAGGTCTCTGGTGCTGGTCCCGGCGGCAATCCCCGAACCCGGTGGTGGACACCGGCAGTAAGGGATGCCGTCAGGCTGAAGAAGGAGTCCTATCGAGCAATGATGGTTCGTGGGACTCCTGAGGCAGCTGTCCAGTACCGGCAGGCCAAACGTGCCGCGGCCCGGGCTGTTGCAGAGGCAAAAACCCGGGACTGGGAGGAGTTCGGAGAGTCCATGGAGCATGACTGTCGGTCGGCCTCGAAGAGGTTCTGGCAAACTGTCCGGCGCCTCAGGAGGGGGAAGCAGTTCTTTGCCAACACCGTGTATGGTGCGGGTGGAGGGCTGCTGACCTCGACTGGGGATATTGTCGGGCGGTGGAACGAATACTTCGAGGTTCTCCTCAATCCCCCCGTCACGTCCTCCGTCCAG